ATTAACTAGTTAATAACAAATGCCAAAACTAGTACACTACAATCAAAGCTAACTAAGTACGTACATTGTATATTCACAATTTTTACCTGTCCGACGATGGAGTCGCGAACGTCGATGGAGTCGCAGTGGACGCCGGGATCGATGGCCCTAGGATGGAGTCGCAGCGGACGCCGGGCGTGGGTGAGGTCGACGAGCTAGGCCGGCGGTGGCGTGGTCGGGTCCCGAGGGCGGGGCAGCCAGGTGGCGGCCATGCAGGCCGAAACCTGAAGCACGGCACGGCGGCACAGGCGGCACGGCATGTATGGCGTGGCACGTACGGCACTGGCACGCAGACGACGCTGGCACGGCCTGCAAGCGCAGCGGACGGCGGCGAGGGCACGTGGGCACACGGCGGGCAAGGCGAGGGCGCGGGCGCTGGTCAGTGGCGGCGGCGTCTTTGGTTCAAGGCCAGAGAGAGAGAGGAAGAGAGAAAGGAAGGGAGGGCCCATACGTAAGACAGGCCTCCATTCTTTCCCTTGGACACATGAACTCCGACTGCATGTATCTTTATCTTTCTATACCTTCTCTTCACGCATGTGCAAACCAACTCACGATCTTTTTCTTCTCGTTAAGATATCTTGGACGTGAGGCTTCTCCCAGATTAAATAATATTTTCCGGCCAAATCACAGATATCCCTAAATTAGGAGATTTTCTTATTTTCGACACTATCGGCCGATTCCCTCCTTTCCACATAAAGCTTACTAAATTTAGGTGTCAACACAAACTCTAATCTTTTCTTAATGAAACATGAGCCTGAGAGGTCTCCATTCATGAAAAAACATTTAACACTTCAATCCTCCCAACCTCGCGTAATCATAGAATCTACAATAGTAAAGCTCATTTCACAACCGTAAAATCAGGCTACACGCATTCAACCACCCCGTGACCTTTTTGTTTTAATCCGCAACTATAAAACTCATCCCACAACCGTAAAAATGAAGCTACATGACCTCAACCATCCTGGACCCATAAATCTCATCCTGCAACATAATCGTAAACACTTATCTATTGTGATTGTAAATATCGATAATAACAAGTAAAATACCTCTTGGAGAGAATAAATTGGTGACTAAACTATAAAACCCGCTTATAGTATTTTAAAAAATATAGAATAAAGTAGAAATTAGGTGTTCTATCAACGTTCAGGTCAAATAGTAATTCTTTGATTTTTATCCACACTGTTTTATTGGACAAAATCTTGACTAACTTTCAATGTCAAAATAATTAGTGACGTTTAGGGTCTAGATGTCAAACTTACAACTTTTAGCAAACTTTGGCTTGCTCATTATCCAAGGACATCTATTTATGAGTGTTGGCTAAACTTTGGTTTGGCTAACTCTAATTTAAGCATATATATCTTATTTGACCATAACTTGGTTATACCTCTGACCAAAATTTTGGGTTGGCATCTTATAGTCATGAACCAAACGTGCCCATAAACTCATGGAGTAATAGCAGATGGTTGGTGGACTACACCATCCAAGTTGCATCGTCTACGATTCACGTGTATCATGTACGTGGACGACCGGCAGTCTCGTGGCCACGTGAACGACGAACAAACGAACTGTTTCATCACCCGACCATAAATGCACATCTTCATCAACAAATCTCCGTTCGCTGGTCTGAAAGTTGGTTGAAACTGGCTGAAAAACACTGTTCCGATTAAATTGTTGTGAGAGAAAAATACTGTTCTGACTGAAAAAAGAAGCCGAACAAGCCATTTTTAAAGTGGTTCCTTTCAGATATCGAGAGAGAGAGAGAGCGCCCGTGGACATTATTAATTTAATCTGGGCCACAAGCATGATGTACCAGGCTACGTGCATTGCTCCGTTTTGTAGCCCATTGATCAGAGGAAATTGGTATGGGCTTGCTAGTTCGCCCAAGCATGATGGAGCAAGCTGAGACGAAGGGATTTCTTTTATCTTAATATTTTTTAATCAATATTGTATTACTAACCCCTCGGGTTTGGTCGCGCCAGTCCGCCTCGCGCGACAAGAGCGCTCTATCGCGTCACATGCACTAGTGCAACAGAGGACGTCACGTTGGCATAGACCGAAGACCCGTTCCTACATGGCCCAAGGCAGGGCCCACCCCGTCGCACCACTGACACGGGCGCGACAGAGTTGGTCGCGGGTCTGGGCCTTTTCTTCTTAGGGCGTGTTTAGTTCCGAAAATTTTTGGCTTTTGGCTACTGTAGCACTTTCGTTTGTATTTGTCAAAAATTGTCTAATTATGGACTATTTAGGCTTAAAAGATTCGTCTCACGATTTCTCGGCCAACTGTGTAATTAGTTTTTTTTTCGTCTACATTTAGTACTCCATGCATGTGCCGCAAGATTCGATGTGACGAGTACTGTGCAAAAAATTTTAGATTTTGGGGACATCTAAACGGGGCCTCACTTTCTTCTCCAGGGGAGCATGGAGCAGCTTTTCACAGTGGCTTCCCTCTCTTATCTTTCTCACTCTCTTTTGTCTCACCCATCTAGTTTCATTTTGCCTTTTTCTTATCAAAGGAGACATGCACGAGGTATGTCTCGCTCACCCAAGAACCCCATTGGACTATTGTCAGTAAGACTGGGTTTTGTTTTTTAATGAAAGTGTGTTTGGCCAAGGGTGTCTCTATATTGTCACTGCATGCGTGCTAGAGGTATGACTCACTTGCCGAAGACCTTTTTCCACTGATTTTAAGGTTGTAGGTTCCTAGGGTTTTGACTTTTGTAAGTAAGATAGGGTTTATTTTTTTAATTGAAGTTTGTTTGGGCAATGGTGCCTCCTATACTGGGAGGAGATGCATAGTTCTTGTGATGTGTACGCTGTTGTTCATGATTTGAGTGATGAATTCCTAAATCATACTTGTACAAAACGCTGCTCTAGGGTTAATGTGGATTTTTCAACTGATTTGTAATAGTATCTGTTGTTAACTTGTTTGGCAGGTTTGATGGCGGCTCTGTGCCATAAGCTGTGGTTTCCATTATCCGAAAGATCATTTGTGCATGCATATGGCCCTTTCCTATCAGCATTATCTACACCATTATGTGATTGTGGCCTACCGGCCATTGTGAAGCAATCAAGGCATTTAGAGTCAGCCGGCTGTGCTTACTACACGTGCAAACTAAAGCGTCCCTTGGGACTTGAGCTTGTTGTAGAGGCATGCAACTTTTTTAGGTGGATCGATGGACATGAATTGTTTGATCCAAAGATTATGTTGTTTCTGTTTGAGCAAAAAAAACAGGAGCTGAATAATAAAATTTGAATTTTGAAGCGATCTCAGATGGGAAACAACAAAAAAAAAATTGTAGATCTCGATGAGTTTTTTTAATTTTATAGTTGATAACTTTTTCATTTCAAATCATCTATGCGAGAAAAATTACATTTGAATTTCTCACATTTGAATTCAAAATTACCAAACGACCTTGGATGGAGAAACTATCGAAACCAAAGATATAGATCCCGAAAAGTTATACAACTTTGTAGTTAACAACCTTTTCATTTGAATTCATGCAGGACCCAAATACTCATTGCAAAATATGATGAACATAAAACGAGGAGAATGAATATCCCAAATGGGCATAAGTGTCTTGTGGAGTTATGGGTGGAGTGGTTATGGGAGAAACGCGCACATGAAAGATTGCTTGACTTGTGACTTATGGGGTTTTCGTAGATTAAAAAAAAATGTTATTTTTTAGGCATGAATTTGTGATCTCTGGAAATGATATGTGGAGACATCTCAAAATACAACAGCCTCTAGAAATCGATAGAGATGGCTCCTATTCCTAGCCATCTCTAAAAATCTGGTTTGTAAATACGGCTAGACAACTACCTCTATAAATCGTTATGGAAAATTAGAGGCGGCTAAACCAACCGCCTCTGTAGAGTCACTGCTATCTCCTCCATGATAGTTTGATTGAATATATAGACATCAACTTCAATGTCATGTTAGTCACAGAGAGCAAATGTCAATGGGCAGATAGCAGAAATAGACTTGAGCAAAACCACAAGACAAGATTAAACAAAGGGTGTGTGTGTGCACAGAAATCAAACTGCAGCAATACTCATGTGATCTCATCAATTTCTCGCCGAGGGACAAGCCTCCTGCAAGTAGGGTAAAAAACAGTACGGATATTTTCTGACCGTATTCGAGACCGAACTTGTTTAGAGGAGTTCAGATTTGTCCGTATCCAGACATTCAACATCCGATACTATATCCGTATCTGAATATTAAAATTCACATATTTATGATGTCGATATGCAATCATATCCTATCCGACATAGCTGTTATTTTCCGTATTCGAATCCAAATCCGAATGAAAATACAAAAACAAATATGATATTAGTGATATCCGTTCATATCCGATATGTTTACAAGTTAGGAATGGTTTACACCATGACATGGACATGGGTATGGATCCATATCCATTTCTACAATGAAATCCTTAGTTTCGTTTTGCACTGCTTTGGGAACGAAGAACGTGTTGCGATTCTTTCCTTGTGCGTGTATCACAGATGACAGATCTAGTAATTAATTAATTGAACACCAAAAGCGTCTTCCGATTCTTTTCTTCAGTCACGCCGCTTCGTATGTCTGATCTGATCAAACCGAACACCGTCACCGAAAGCATTCTTGACTCCTGTCCATCATTGTTTGTTGAAAGCAGTCCTGTCCCTTGTGTATAAAGCGCGACTTCCGAGATTCTTTGCTTCTGTCATGTCACTCCTCTGCCTAGTAATCTCGTTATATTATTATCAAACTGAACATCAAAACAAAGCAAAGCATCCTTGGACTCTTCTCCTTTTTCTTCTGATCACTCCGGCCATGTCTCCATGCGTACAGTCGTAGAGAAGAGAACTCGGCAGCAGTAAGTACTCTTGCAAACCTACCTAACTACCTGATGATGGAGGTGGAGTCGTCTGAGAATGCTAGTCATCCTAGGCCTAGCAGCAGCAGCAGCTGGGTGGTGGATATGGCGACGATGCTTCAGCGCACCGACGACGACCCGTCGGCGGCGGAGAGGGTGCGGTGGAACAGGCGCTCCATCTACCGAGTGCCGGAGGGGATGAAGGAGCAGACCAAGAGCGAGGCGTACCGGCCGCTGTTCGTGTCGCTGGGCCCCTTCCACCACGGCGACCCACGGCTGGTGCCGATGGAGGAACACAAGCGCCGGGCGGTGCTGCACCTGGTGAGGCGGGCCGGGAGGCCGCTCAGGGACTTCGTCGCCGCGATGGAGGCGGTGGCGGACGAGCTGCTGGACGCCTACGGCGACCTGGGCGAGCAATGGCTTGGCGGCAGCGGCACGGACTGCTTCCTGGAGGTCATGCTCGCCGACGGATGCTTCCTTCTGGAGATGATGAGGACGCGCGAGCGCGTGCTCCGGGGCGAGACGTTGGAGGACTACGCGCCCAACGACCCCGTCTTCAGCATCCATGGCTTTTATTTTCTGCGTCCGGAAATCCAGTCCGACCTTCTCCTGATGGAGAACCAGCTGCCTCTGCTCGTGTTGCAGAGGATTTTGGTTGTGCAGCACGGCATCTCATCGCCGGTATGTATGTATGTGCATATATGTGTATATAATATATCTGTGCATCTACCAATGTAGTGCTGCAATGTTTATTTATATATAGATAGATAGATACACGTACCAAACTAGCAGTGACTGACGATGTGTTTACATTTCAATCAACCATGCATGAGCACAGAGCGCTGAAGATATCAACAAAATGGTGCTCCATTTTCTGGAACTGGAATGGCCGCTCCACGCAGACATGGACACTCTGGGTCTCCACCCCTTGGACTTGGTTCACAAGAGCAGCCGTGAACCTCCTCCGACCCTTAGCGATCTGGCGGATGAGTGGGAGGCGGACACCGCCATGCCTTGTGCAGCAGAGCTCAGCGACGCAGGGATCCGTTTCAAGGAGAGCAAAACCAAGAGCATCGACTTCAGAAATGGCGTGCTAAGAATGCCGATCGTCAGGGTCTACGATGGAACCGACAAGACCTTCCTCAACCTAATGGCGTTCGAGCGGCTGCACGTCTTCGCCGGGCACGACGTGACGGACTATGTGCTCTTCATGGACAGCATCATCAGCTCTGAAAGAGACGTGGCGCTGCTGAGATCCAAAGGGCTCGTCAAGAGCGGGCTGGGCAGCGACAGAGAGGTGGCGGAGCTGTTCAATACGATCTCCAAGGGAGCGGTGATGAGCCCGTTCTGCAGGCTGTTGGATGTGCAGCGGAAGATGAACGACCACTGCAGGAAGCCAATGAACAGGTGGCGGGCGACCTTCGAACACACCTACCTAAGCAACCCCTGCGTGTTCATCTCGCTCCTCGCTGCTATTGTTGTGCTCGTTGGCACCGTGCTGCAAGTTGTCTATGCTGCCGTGTCCTACTACGACAACAGATAGCTATAGCCGGCCAGCGCCCTGTTAAAGTTGTGAATTAATTAAGGGTCTATCTACATATCTGTTGGCAGATTTTTACACCAAAAATCTGTCAAATTTTGGACAAATGAAAAGCTGACACATCAGCAGGAAAAAACTGACAGATGCTACAACAAAAAATCTGTCAGATTTTTATTACACAAGACATATCCAACAAAAGATCCACAGCCCGTTAACAAAATACAGCTGACTTTGATGCACACCTGCTGCTCTGGTCACTGCACTGTGCTCCCTGCTGCTCATTGCTTCTGCTGCTGCTGCTCCCTGCGCTGTGCTCACTAGCAAATGCAGTGGATGCAAAACCTTGTAATTCTTTGGCTTGGTGAAGAACTGCATAGTTGATTTCAGACCAAATTGTCAAACCCAAACCTGACAAGAAAAAGAATCTAAAAATGGCATCTAAGAGAAAAAAGGTGAACCATACGCATAGTGAGTTAACTTAGATCCTCAAAAGATTCAAAAGCAAATTACAAAATGGAAGTTCACTTACATTGCCCATTGCAATGAGCCCCTTATCAAAGAAGAAAACGATTCCCAGAAAGGAGAAGAATATTCCAAAAGCCTGTCAGGCCAAGCCCAATCTCTGTCCAAGATGAAATTCAGACGTCACAGATCAATGAGTTGGGAGAATAGACTGTGTGTTTACAGAGGTTCTACCTTGGGCTGTAGAAAATTGTAAACCGGCTATTTGTCAAAGCAGCATGGGCAGCTGCGGCAAGAAGACCGATATGCATGCATAAGACAGAAGATGGCATGACAGTTTGTGGCCGATTTGCCCGATGAATTCCCAGCAGAAGCTGGTTATTGTCATTCCTGACAAGGCAATGAGATATAAAATCAACCAAAAAGAAACTATCTGATGGGATGGAGACAAAAAAAAAAAGAGAGGATAAGTGATTGTTTGGAATGCTGGAAGTATGAACATACCAGATAAAAAGGACAGAGTCACCAGCAACGAGTCTCTTTGCACTTACAAAGACACTCTAGCCTGTCGTTAGAAGATGCCGCTTTGGCTGACCTGCATTAAGGATGGTATTTAGAAGGTTATGCAATAGCCCTAACCACTGAAGGCACAGCAAAGCAGAGTTAAAAGGAAAAAAAAAGAAAAACTGCTTACCACGAAAGATGTGACGGAATTTCCACTCATTGCCATGAAGATCTTTTGCCATCAACTCCTGGCATGGAGGTTGCTGGGTGAAATCCTACACAGTATTTGGCAAATTAGACCAATATGTGGAGGAAACATAAATAAATAATGAACTTGAAACTCGAGAGAAGTTCACTTTCTACAACAAAATCAACATAAATAACGAACTTGGAACTTGAGAGAAGTCGCACATACCAGTGGAGGAACCACTTTCCTAGCTGCTCGACAGGGAACAGAGAACCCACAACTAATGTTACCCTAGCTGCTCGACAGGGAACAGAGAACCCACAACTAATGTTACTTGTGTCACTTGCTGTTAATATTTTGCAGAAATAGTTTGTTGGCTGTTTGTTGGCCGAACCTAATTCTGCAGGTAAATATAGGTCCTTCAGTTCTTGCTGCATAAAAAACAAGCCAAAAATTACTCTTCATAGATACCAAGAGGAGTTTGCATGTTATATGACACAAATAGGCAGAAAAATATATAATTTACCGGGTTGAGTGGTTGCAGTGTCATCTGTGCATATACCTCATCTGTCTCTGCATCAGCCTGAAAGAAGGGAATTACACTGATAATGAAACACAAAACTAAACTTACTCAGCTTAAGTAGAAAGTGTTTCCAAGGCTCCAAACTTACATGCATCGTCACATTATGCAGTTGGCATATAAGCTGTGGCGGCAAATTAGGATAATTGGGGATCTGAGACTCCATTTCCTTGTTTGTTGATGCTGCTACCTGAAGCAGAAATTCACCAAAAACTAGTGTAAAAAAGGGAGAATTTTTCGAGTCTTGAAAATACTGGCAGAGGATAATTGGGCATTCGAGCTTGACAACCAAACTGAAAGAGGACATATATAGGATTCACGGGCATGGTGAGCTTGTGCACTAACCTGCTCGCTGTGGCCCTGAGGGAAGTACACAGCACCCACCGCAGGCAAGGAAACAAAACGGGCCGGTACAGGCATGCCACAACTCTGAGTTCACGCACTTGTGCTTCTCCACAGCTGTCATGGCAGAAGTATTTGTTTTGTTTTGAGAACAAGTTTCAATACTGCAAGTTTCTTCAACAATGAAATATCAACCGGTGACATGTGCTTATGCCAACAACAAAAAGAGAAAACAGGCCCAGAGATTGCAAAGACAAGATGAAAAAAATTACCAAGTTCATGCACCACTATAGTACATGTCAGCCGCAAAAAGGACCATAACTAGACATAACATCAAATCATCCCTACCAGAATATCTCTAAAAGCCATTTTGGTGAGTCAAAAACACATTAAATTGCACAAATATTTATGTCAGGATACTAGTTGATCTTCAGGGCACACATCATGCAGAGCTATTATACAGCAAAAATTGCAGAAGTGGCACGATCATTACAAACTGGTAATGTAAAAAGAAAAGGTCTGGGAAATGAAAACTACTTAGCAACCTAACATTAGACATACGATGCAGTTTGTAAAATGACACACACATCCACTCATCACACACACACAGATCCGAAACAAAAAATGGCACGCGAGCTGGCGGAACCAAGTACCTTAGGCCTCATCGAGGCAAAGGACGCCTGGTAAAAAAATGTGGCTCATCTTGTCAGCAAGCCCAGCCTTCTCAACAGCAGCAACAAAATCACCACCGCCGATGATGGTGGTGACACCCTTTGTGGTTGTAAACTCAGCCAGCTTCTTAGCAAAATAGCCTGAAGAAACACAAATTGTCTAAAAACAATGATATATAAAAAAAAGATAGATAAGACACAAAGCCATTTTACCCCCATCCTACTCAAAAAGTACCTAAATATACTTAAAAGGTCATAAGCAGGGATGACATTTTATTACCTTCTGCATGAGGAAGCCAGCACACAGCAGCCTTCAAAAAAATACTTGTAACTCCTTCAGTTGAAGCATGAGCTCTGTGTGCCGTGCTGAAAAATGCAACATTGACAAAAAAAAAAGGTCAGCAACAGATGCTAGCTTCTTAGCAAAACTCAGTGTCGTTCTTCTCTTCCTTCTTGTATAATCTAACATTCTCTGGGAGCAGAACTCCACCTATTGGCAAAGCAAAAGCAAAACTTCTCAACTTCCTCACAAATGCAATCATTGGCCATCACAAATGCAGGAATGCAACTGAAAAATTTAACTGCAAAAGATGCTCTAAAACAAGTCAACTGGACAAGGAGTTAAACAAACCTCGATTGACAAAGCCAAAGCCAAAACTGAACAGGCTGTGAGTTCAGCAAGTTTGGTTTATGGATTCTTTTGCACATAGTTAGTATAAACATGATGAATGGGGACCAAAATTCAAAAAGAATTGCCTAATGATGCATCAACCACTCAAAAACCAATCACCCCATGAACCAACAACTTAAACTAGCCTGACATCACAGAGAAAGAGAGAGAAACACACACACTCACACTCTCTTTCCAATAAAAGCAACACACACAAAGGCACTCAAAAGGCAAAAAAAACAAGAAGCTTATTCAGCAGCAAGCAGCATGCAGCTACAACAGCAACAGTAGCATCAGGCTTAATCAGTAGTAGCATCAAGCAGCAGCAGTCAAATACACAACCACAACCACACACACACAGACAGAGAGAGCATCAGCAAACATCAGTAGCAGCAAGCATCAGTAGCAGCAGCCAAAAGCAGCAAGCAGCACCAAAAAACAGAAAGAAAAAAAGGGAGCAGCAGCTCCAAAAAGCAGAAAAAATGGCAGCAGCGGGTCAAAAAATGCAGATCTACTAAAAAAACCAAAAATCAGCTACAAATACAGAATCAAGAAAAATATAACACACCCACAAGCAGAGACACACACCCACACCAAAACACACACACACAAAAACAGAGAGAGAGAGAGAGAGAGAGACACGCGCACACACAGAAAAAGAGAGAGACAAACACAGAGACAGACACACAGACACACACACACTAACTCAAAATGGCAAATAAAGGCAAAAAAAAAGGACAAAAAAAGGCCAACAAAAACTAAGCCCATAAAACAAAAGAAAAAAAAACCCACACACACAGATAGAGACAGAGACACAGACACAGAGATAGAGAGATAGACACACACAAAAAAAAAGCAAACTCAAAAGGCAAATGCCAGAAAAAGGCAAAGGACAAAAAAAGGCCCACAAAAAAAAGAACCCATAAAACAAAAGACAATAAAAGGCCCACAAAAATAAAGCCCAATAGACATTCCTGCGACAGCCAAAAAGTGAAGCATATACCAAAGGCTCACAAAAAAGACTTCCAACCTAAGAAAACTTAGAAAAAGCAGATCTAAACAGCACACGCATGTAACTAGAAATCTGCAATGGCACAGTAGCTAGTGGCTAATACCACCTCTAACTAAGAAAACTGTAATGGAAACAATAGCTAATGCCACCTCTAACTAAGAAATTTGTAATGGCACAGTAGCAGACAACAGCAAATATTCCATGCTCCAAAAGGAACCAGCATCAGGAATCATAATTGACAAAATAACATTATGTATGCATGATAGTCATATAGCGTTTCGTAAAATTGAAAAAAATAATATTATGTATGCATGATAGTCATATAGCTTCAGTACATCTCATACTGACCAAAATAGCAGAACTAGCTATATATATCATGACTAGCTATGATATCTCAAGAACTGCAGACCTGCAGTATTCTGCACAGCAGGATGTTTATAGAATAATATGTGGCCATAGATGCCCAGCACAACGCCTCAATTGAATGTGTGACTTAATTAAGCTGAAATCTAAATAAACTGGACTAGAAACGTCGAAGCAAATTAGCTAGCATAACCGTAAGACCCGATGCAGAATCCATATGCTAATTTAACAAGTACAGCTACTACAAAGTATATGTTGCAGAACCAGTAGACTTAGATATCCTCGGTAATGAATCATAGATTCAATCCACAACAACAACAACCTAGCGCCCATGTAACAAAACAAATCGACAGATGAATTTATATTTGCAAGCCTTCAAAACAAAGCCAAAAGCCAATACACATATAGAGACCGAGACGGATTGGTACTAACCTGGACTCCATGGGGGCCGACAGCTACTGCAATGAGCTGCTGGAGCAGAGGTAGCTGTCCTGAGGAAGACGGGAAGAGCAGATCGGCGGCTTCAGGACAACGAGCGGACAGACAGCGCAGGCGAAGGCCGAAGCGCGCCCGCACCCCGCGTCAGCGGCACACTGCGACAGGGGCGCCTGGCCGGACGCCGGAGAAGCCGAGACAGGCGGTCGCCGGACGGGCGTCGGCTCGCCCGCAAGGAAGAGGAAACACCGGCGACGGCCGCGGCACAGGGCGTCCAGCGCGCAAGGACAAAATCAACACTCTAGCGGCTCTTCCCCCGGCTGGATCCACCAACAGCTTCAGCGGGGAGGCACGGCACAGGCCAAAGCGGCAGCGGCCGCCGAGCCACCGCCTGCTCTACGCGCACGCGAGCAGGGAAAGTGACGGGAGGATTGGGACGAAAAGACAGGGGGAAACGAAGAGAAACGATAAGGCCAGCGCAGATTTCGAAATTAACGGGTTTGTGGATTTCACAGCGGACCCGTCAGCTCACACATACAGCTGCACGAATCTCAAAATAGATCAACGACCCAGAATTTGATAGATAAAGGCAACCAAAATCTGTTGACATATAAATAGCATAAATCATTAAGTAATCTGCAAGATTCTTCTGCAGAAAGCATTAGATTTGGATTTCCTTATATGTCTATACTCCATCTGTCCCAAATTGTATAGGTCATTCCAACTTTCTTAGAGAGTTAGAGCATCTCAAGTTTGGCTAAATTTATAGAGAGAATTATAAATAATTAATGAAGAATCTAATGATACTTATTTGGTACCATCAATGCTATTATTTTATTACAAAAATTTGGTCAAAGTGGAGAGATGCTTTGACTCTTTAAGAAAGTTAGAATGACTTATAATTTTGGACTGATAGAGTATTATATACGAGTGAATTTTTTGTCTTCCTCGTCGTGCGCAATGTCTTTGCAAGGCACTGCTTCCTCCTAAATAGGATCTGAGAATGCTTTCGGGGCCGAGCACTGCACAACCAAACACAAGATATATATGAAAGTAAAGAGAAAAGATGTAGTATGGAAACCAACGAGTGCAAACAATTGACACAAATTTTATCCCTGATATTCGGTTGCTTGCCGGCAACCTACGTCCTCATTATGGCAAGTCTCCAAGTGATGATTCACACGCTAACTAGCGTGATAAGCTAGACCTAAGACTTGGGTGCCGCAAGAATCAATCAAATGGTTCACTCCAACTAGCCACGTGCATTTCACTTGAGTATACTTTTGCACTCCACGAGGTGGGATCAAAACCTATGGTGAGGTTGTGTAAATCTTGGAGATGGGAATGAGCGCCCTCATCGGATAAATGCAGATAAATATGTTGTGTAACCTGTTTAAGGGCGCTTGCAAATATTGGGTACAACGTGCCTATCATCCATCAGATTAGAAGCTTTAAATGATGGCATTATTGATGTGGTGCTCATAAGCGCAATGATTGATCAACACAACCACAATGATGTGGTAAAGTTGAATAGGATTTCTAGTTTGTATTCAGAATTATTGTTAGGTCTATGTTTATGGTTCTCATATTCTATTTTTTTCAACACTTACAGATTGAGTACCATGACTTAAACTACGATAGATGTAGCTTTCAAGCCATGTATCAATTGGGTCGTTACCACTGGCAATATGGTGGTCCAACATACAGTACACATGGATTCTAGGAATGTGTCCATGTTTCTTTGGAACCAGACCCAGTATGTGCCATCTCGACCACTATTATCCATCAGTAGTAGACCTTGTGCTCGAACTTATGAAGCGAGGGAGAGTGCACCAATGAATATGTTGTTTTACATCAATGATGTGCTAGCATAGACCATCAGTGACCTACACTACATTATGAATTATCACATACGACATAGTCGTGAACAATAGTGGGTGTGTTCTACTAGGTTTTGTACTAAGTAAACTATGTAGTCTACTTATGTTTGTATAAATTTTGGTGTGTTATGACACTTGGTTTGTATCATTGATTTTAATTATTATCAATATTTGTACTATCTCATTCTATCACATAAGTATTTTCAATTCCATGTATATAATCTTATAGACTTTTGAAATTGTTGCACGAGAATATAAATGGTTACATATATACATATTATATGTGCACTTAGAGTTTGAAGTATCAATTTTCAATATTGGTGGAAAATATTTGTAGATGCGGTTAGAAAATATAGCCACCTCTAGAAACTGTTTTTCTAGAGGTAGCTAGGAACAGCAGCCGCCTCGAAAAAAATTGATTTGTCGAACCATCTCTAGAAATTGTTTTGTAAGGGTGGCTGGGTTACCCGCCTCTAGGATTAGAGGCGGCTGGGCCCGCCTCCTCTATAGAGGCTTCTCTTGCTGATGCTAAAGAAAGGGGACACAAGAAGGCTGAGCGTTGTTCGATGCCTAGCCATCAAGTGGTACCTCGAGACATTCATGGTGGGAACCTACCCATTGTGTCAGATTATTTTGTAGACCCCATTTTACAATGACACGTTCTTCCGGAGATGATTTAGGATGTAGTTTTGCAACTCCCAAAAAGGTATTGGGAGGAAAAAAGAGGCCATCTCCAAGAGTTTCTAATAATCCACTCCTAAAATATAAAAGATATTTTTTTATCAGGAATCCTCTATTATTTCTAAATTATCGTTTTAGGAGGAAGTATTAGGAGTTGTTGGAGAGGGATTTTTTCTTATCTTTCTAAAAATCAAATATTAGGAAGGAATTTAGGAAACTCCTGAAGATGCTCTTAGAATTGTAGAAGGGGTGGATACACATGATGATTATTTCTGGCAAAGGCCAAATGAAGTAGGATTTCTTCTACGAGACATGCATGGTGGGAACACAAGAAGGCTAGTTGTTTAATTATTTTCGTAGACTTCATTTTACATCTCTACTACACAAATGATTTTACGAAGCAGTGGGTTTTCATTAACCTAAGTTGGTGGGCTGAGCGGCCACCTTTGTTAATCGATGGCAGGGCCGTCGGCCGAGCAACTGCGTTGCTTAATGTTTAATGGAGGTGGGCAACATTAGGCGACCATCTCCGTTAATCAATTATTTTCAGAGGCGGTCATTCTAAGTGTCCGCCTCCGTAAATTGATTCACGAAGGAGGATGCCTTAAGATGTATGCCTCGGTTAATGATTACAACAAAAAATAATTCATAACATTTTTATATGAACTCGGATGAAGACAAACTTTATATAAAAATTCTAGCTCTCAATGAGATCTATAACTTTGCAGTTGAAAAGTTTTTGAATTGAAACTGTTTAGGGTCATAAAATATTGTTGTAAGTGCACATATTATGAAATTTGAAATTATCAAATGATGTCGATGTTGACATGGTCTTTACAAAAGTTATAGTTCTCAATAGAATCTACAACTTCGTAGTTGAAAAGTTTTAAATTTGAAAATGTTTAGAGTCTAAAATATGTGTTCGAAGGTTATTGATTTTGAAATTGAAATTTAAAATTTAGAGTTCCTAAACGATCTCAAATATTCACATGGTTAATACCAAAGTTCTAGTGGCCGACCTAATCTACATGTTTGATATTGACAAATTTTTGATTTAAAGTCATCTAGAGTCTCAAATATATGTTTGAATCACATGTTTTGAGACTCAATTTTTTGAATTTTTCATACTATCTCTAATGGAGATACATCCTATACCAAAGTTGTAGTACTTGACTAGATTTAAAACTTTGTAGTTAAAAGTTTTTTCATTTGAGTTTATTTAGTAGAACAAAATATCCAATATAAGTGTTGGCGCAAAAACGTGTCGATGCGCTGGGGCACACAGCAAGCCGAAAGAATCTGCTTGACGGAGCAAGGCTGGAGATCCACTTGGCTTCAACGCAGGGCTAGCCGATCCTACATATTCCTCCCGAGGCGTCTCAGTCAATTTGACCTACAATTAATAAGGAGAGAAAATTTATCAGTAATTTAAGGCAAAACGTGCCGATCTTACCCAAACAGTTCTAAGTGTGCCGCTACGAGAGCAGCCAGACGGTGAAATCGACTAAATATCCGATACGCGAAGAAATCGGCTATTTATGGACTATGAAGCTCATGAGTTGCAATTGATTTTATGTTGACACGTACCGTGCACGCAGATGTAAGTAAAATCATCAGCTAGGTGAGTATTACTAATGTAAAGCATTAAGACGATAAATCTAATAAGAAATGATATAACATACGAACAAATCGACTGTCTAGTACAAATAGATCTACAAACGCTCTGAATCTAATCTATTACCATCAATAGTGAGGTTCGATCGGATCGATGGCAGCTATGATGATGATAACAAACAAAACCAAGAATGCATAAAACCATCTATATATTGACAGACTTTCTGAAAGACATGCTATATACGTGAAACTTATGGGTCAAACCTCAATGTGAAAGCTCAAGCGAAATCGGCTAAAATAGTCGATTCAGGTGAAAATGGGCTACAACATGTGAGCAATTGACTATTTAACATGGATAGATCTATGAACTCATTAGACCTAACCTGATACCTCTAACAGTGGGGACTCGACTGGATTGATGCAGTCATGATAAAGACAACAAATCAAACCTTTAAAGTAAACAGGTCTATTCACATTTAACAGAATCATGGAAACACATTGTAGGCGTTAAGGCGCAGGCAATCGGCTATTTAGCCGATGTGGACATAGCAAACAAACAGAGTACATGTCTCGATCACAAACAAAACCACTACTTGATGATTTCTAATCTAAAGTCTTACCAGTGAGGTTCGACCGGATCGATGCAGCTATGGTGGTGCCATTAGATTAGATCTCATTAACTAGTGAACTTATTCAAGATCGAAATGTGTCTTTGAATGCATACTATACACGATCAATATCAAAGTAAAACAGCCAATGAAACGTAACCCGTAGCTTAAAATAAGAAAACATCGTGTTGTAGCAGAGTAAATGACGGATTAAAAGGATATGAA